CCCCCACCCTCTCCACTCTAGCTCTTATGTGATTTGTGATTTGTTGCGGTGTTGCTTTGATTGCTAACTACTTGTGCTACTAGTGTACTCCTTTATTGTTATTTGTTTTGTTGCTCTTACCTTTCTTAGCAGTGGTTCGTACATACTGTTTTGTGTTTGTAGTCTCGTCTCTGCTTTGCTTTTTGGTGCTATTGTGTGGGTGTAGTGGCGTGTGTTAGCAATGTAGCTGTAAGGTCATATCCCGGGGTTGGGACAGGGGTAGGAGGGTCGCAGAGGGGTAGTGTAGTGTCCCATGTGCGTTTCGGCTCATGGAACATAGGGACCCTCACAGGTAAGTCAATTGAGTTGGTGCAAGTTCTCAAGAGGAGAAGGATTCAGGTGGCGTGCGTGCAAGAAACCAGGTGGGTGGGCACTAAGGCGCGAGAGGTTGATGGTTTCAAATTATGGTATTCAGGTTCAGCTAGGGGAAGGAATGGGGTCGGTATTCTGGTGGCGCCAGAGCTGCGAGAGTATGTGGTGGAGGTGAAGAGGATTAGTGATCGTCTGATGTTTATCAAGTTGGTTTTGGGTGGGTGTGCGATCAATGTCGTGAGTGCTTACGCCCCGCAGGTTGGCTTGGCTGACGAAGTAAAGGGAGTTTTGGGACGCCTTGGATGGGGTGGTTGTTGGTTTTCCACTGACTGAGAAAGTCATCATTGGAGGCGACTTCAATGGCCATATTGGAGAATTGAATGAGGGCTTCGAGGACGTGCACGGTGGCTTTGCCTTTGGCAGCAGGAACCCAGCGGGAGTTTCACTCTTGGAGTTTGCCCGGGCGAGTGATATGGTGGTTGCTAACTCGTGTTTCCCTAAACGTGACGACCATTTGGCTACATTTGTTAGTGGAGTGGGGATGACACAGATCGACTATCTTCTCCTGCGCAGGTGTGATCGGGTGCTCTGCAAGGATGCTAAAGTAATTCCGAGGGAAAACATCACCACCCTACACAAGCTTCTGGTGATGGATGTCAGGATTAGGTGGGTGAAACATAGGAGAGTTTCGGGTGGCAACGCACACATCCGGTGGAGGAGACTAAGTGGGGAGAATATCTCTGAGTTGGTCAGGCGAGTGCAGGAGAAAGGGGCGTGGGAATCGGCCGGAGAGGCTGCTGATATGTGGGCACAGACTGCTAACTGCATCAGGGAAGCTGCCAGGGAAGTGCTTGGTGTGAGCTCTGGCTCAGGGAGTAGGCGGCAGGGTGATTGGTGGTGGAGCGATTCAGTCCAGAGTAAGGTGGAAGCTAAGAAGGTGGCATATGTGAGGTACATGGGCTGCAATGTTGAGGAAGAAAGAGCGGCGTTACGAGTGGAGTACAAGAAGGCACGTAAAGAAGCTAAGTTAGAGGTTACAAGGGCAAAGAATGCCGCTTTTGAAGGCCTCTACAAGGATATTGAGGAGAAAGGCGGTGTTAATACACTGTTCCGGCTTGCTAAAGTGCGTGAGAGGAAGGCCCAAGATCTGGACCACATGCGTTGCGTGAAGGACAGTGATGGTAGAGTGTTAGTTGAGACTGCCAAGGTGGCTAAGCGCTGGGGGGAGTACTTTTGTGAACTCTTAAATGCGGGAGGAGAGCAGAGGCTAGTTCTTGATGAGCTGGGGCAATCCGGGGCGTCTCGTGTATATTGCCGGCGCATTTGCCTGGAAGAGGTGGTTCGGGCTCTCCGCGGGATGCGTAGTGGGAGAGCTTTGGGACCAGATGAGATTCCGGTGGAGTTCTAGAAGCATGCGGGTCGTGGTGCGTGGGTTTGGTTAACCAAACTCTTCAATGTTATCTTCCGGACAGCAAGGATGCCAGATGAGTGGAGGGAGAGTCTCTTGGTCCCCCTGTTTAAAGGCAAAGGTGACATCCAAAGCTGCGAGAATTTCAGAGGCATCAAACTGCTTAGCCACACCATGAAGGTTTGGGAGCGAGTCATTGAGTATAGGGTGCGGAAAGGGGTATGCATCTCTGAGAACCAGTTTGGTTTCATGCCAGGCAGATCAACTACAGAGGCCATTCACCTCGTGAGGAGGTTAATGGAAGAGTATAGGGCTAGGAAGAAGGACCTTCATATGGTGTTCATTGATCTCGAGAAGGCGTATGATAGGGTGCCAAGGGAGGTCTTATGGAGGTGCCTTGAGACGAGAGGAGTTCCCATCGCGTACACTCGCGCGATCAAGGATATGTACGATGGGGCTATGACTAGGGTAAGGACCTTCGGGGGCGACTCTGAGTCATTCTCGGTAGGGATGGGGTTGCACCAGGGGTCTGCCCTTAGCCCTTTTTTGTTCGCCTTGGTGATGGACGTCCTAACT